ACTAAGGTATCAATAATGCTAGTGGTACTAAGGTATCAATAATACTAGTGGTACTAAGGTATCAATAATGCTAGTGGTACTAAGGTATCAATAATGCTAGTGGTACTAAGGTATCAATAATACTAGTGGTACTAAGGTATCAATAATGCTAGTGGTACTAAGGTATCAATAATACTAGTGGTACTAAGGTATCAATAATGCTAGTGGTACTAAGGTATCAATAATACTAGTGGTACTAAGGTATCAATAATGCTAGTGGTACTAAGGTATCAATAATACTAGTGGTACTAAGGTATCAATAATGCTAGTGGTACTAAGGTATCAATAATACTAGTGGTACTAAGGTATCAATAATGCTAGTGGTACTAAGGTATCAATAATACTAGTGGTACTAAGGTATCAATAATGCTAGTGGTACTAAGGTATCAATAATACTAGTGGTACTAAGGTATCAATAATGCTAGTGGTACTAAGGTATCAATAATACTAGTGGTACTAAGGTATCAATAATGCTAGTGGTACTAAGGTATCAATAATGCTAGTAGTATCAAGGTATCAGTAACGCTAGTGGTGTCAAGGTATCAATAATACTAGTGGTACCAAGGTATCAATAATACTAGTGGTACTAAGGTATCAATAATGCTAGTGGTACTAAGGTATCAATAATACTAGTGGTACTAAGGTATCAATAATGCTAGTGGTACTAAGGTATCGATAATGCTAGTGGTACCAAGGTATCAATAATACTAGTGGTACTAAGGTATCAATAATGCTAGTGGTACTAAGGTATCAATAATGCTAGTAGTATCAAGGTATCGATAATGCTAGTGGTACCAAGGTATCGATAATGCTAGTGGTACCAATGTATCAATAATACTAGTGGTACCAATGTATCAATAATACTAGTGGTATCAAGGTATCAATAATGCTAGTGGTATCAAGGTATCAATAATGCTAGTGGTACCAAGGTATCGATAATGCTAGTGGTACCAAGGTATCAATAATGCTAGTGGTATCCAGGTATCAATAATGCTAGTGGTACCAATGTATCAATAATACTAGTGGTACCAATGTATCAATAATACTAGTGGTATCAAGGTATCAATAATGCTAGTGGTATCAAGGTATCAATAATGCTAGTGGTACCAAGGTATCGATAATGCTAGTGGTACCAAGGTATCAATAATGCTAGTGGTATCAAGGTATCAATAATGCTAGTGGTACCAAAGTATCGATAATGCTAGTGGTACCAATGTATCAATAATACTAGTGGTACCAGTGTATCAATAATACTAGTGGTACCAAGGTATCAATAATGCTAGTGGTATCAAGGTATCAGTAACACTAGTGGTGTCAAGATATCAATAATACTAGTGGTACCAATGTATCAATAATACTAGTGGTACCAAGGTATCAATAATGCTAGTGGTATCAAGGTATCAATAATGCTAGTGGTACCAAGGTATCGATAATGCTAGTGGTACCAAGGTATCAATAATGCTAGTGTTACAAAGGTATTAATAATATTAGTGGTACTAAGGTATCAATAATCCTAGTGGTACCAAGGTTGATGTAGTACTAGTGTTGCTTGCAGTGGTAGCAATGGAACGAACACTCTTAGGGGTTACTGTATTGTCTTAGTACCATTGTACTATAGTACCACAGCATGTGGCACTGTGCTTCAGACAGGCACCCTCTTAGTACCATTGTACCATAGTACCACAGCATGTGGCACTGTGCTTCAGACAGGCACCCTCTTAGTACCATTGTACCATAGTACCACAGCATGTGGCACTGTGCTTCGGACAGGCACCCTCTTAGTACCATTGTACCATAGTACCACAGCATGTGGCACTGTGCTTCAGACAGGCACCCTCTTAGTACCATTGTGCCATAGTACCACAGCATGTGGCACTGTACTTCATACAGGCACCTTCTTAGTACCATTGTGCCATGGTACCACAGCATGTGGCACTGTGCTTCAGACAGGCACCCTCTTAGTACCATTGTACCATAGTACCACAGCATGTGGCACTGTGCTTCAGACAGGCACCCTCTTAGTACCATTGTACCATAGTACCACAGCATGTGGCACTGTGATTCAGACAGGCACCCTCTTAGTACCATTGAGCCATAGTACCACAGCATGTGGCACTGTACTTCATACAGGCACCTTCTTAGTACCATTGTGCCATGGTACCACAGCATGTGGCACTGTGCTTCAGACAGGCACCCTCTTAGTACCATTGTACCATAGTACCACAGCATGTGGCACTGTGCTTCAGACAGGCACCCTCTTAGTACCATTGTACCATAATACCACAGCATGTGGCACTGTGCTTAAGACAGGCACCCTCTTAGTACCATTGTACCATAGTACCACAGCATGTGGCACTGTGCTTCAGACAGGCACCCTCTTAGTACCATTGTACCATAGTACCACAGCATGTGGCACTGTGCTTCAGACAGGCTTCCTCTTAGTACCATTGTACCATAGTACCACAGCATGTGGCACTGTGCTTCAGACAGGCTTTCTCTTAGTACCATTGTACCATAGTACCACAGCATATGGCACTGTGCTTCAAACAGGCACCCTCTTAGTACCATTGTACCATAGTACCACAGCATGTGGCACTGTGCTTCAGACAGGCCCCCTCTTAGTACCATTGTACCATAGTACCACAGCATGTGGCACTGTGCTTCAGACAGGCACCCTCTCAGTGCCTGATAGGGCCCCACCAGCCCAGTCGAGGTCGCCTTCTACTTTCTAATGCCGAGGCGACTTTCTCCCCCCTCACACCTGTGTTGAGAGAGAGAGAGAGAGAGAGAGAGAGAGAGAGGAGGAGAGAGAGAGAGAGAGAGAGAGAGAGAGAGAGAGAGAGAGAGAGAGAGAGAGAGAGGAGAGAGAGAGAGAGAGAGAGAGAGAGAGAGAGAGAGAGAGAGAGAGAGAGAGAGAGAGAGAGAGGAGAGAGGATGAGAGAGAGAGAGAGAGAGAGAGAGAGAGAGAGAGAGAGAGAGAGAGAAAGAGAACATTACCCTGGGTTAAATATACATAATATACTATTTTATGTGCCCATAACGCACGTCTGCCCTCAGATCTGTCCTAACAGCAGTTTTCCTGGGTACCTTTGTCACATTTCCTCTCGATCGCCTTTGTAAACAAAAAAATTGAATGAGCTTCAAGTCTTCCTGACGATTTTTGACTGTACCGAAGTAGCAGCAGCAATAGTAGTAGTAGTAGTAGTAGTAGTAGTAGTAGTAGTAGTAGTAGTAGTAGTAGTAGTAGTAGTAGTAGCAGCAGCAGCATTAACTGTAGTAGCAGTAGTAATAAGAGAACCAGTTGTAATAGTTATTATAAGATAAGATTATGTTGGGGATTTTTAACCCCGGAGGGTTAGCCACTCAAAATAACCCATGAAAGTCAGTCATCGAGGACTGTCTGTCTGATTTCCATTGGGGCTCTTCAATCATGTCCCTAGGATGCCACTCACACCAGTCGACTAACACCCAGGTACCTACTTGCTTGCTAAGTGAACAAGGACAACAGGTGTAAGGAAGTACGTCCAGTGTCTCCACCTTTACAGGGGATCTAACCACGAATACTCAGTGTGTGAGGGGAGAGCGTTGCCTACCAGGCCACGGGACACTACTAGTAACAGAACACTGGTAGCAGTAGTTAAATCGTTACTACTGTTACTACTGCAATAGCAGTAGCAACAGTAGTAAAAGCAATAGTTATAGTAATAGTAACAGTATCAGCAGTAGTAATAGTTGAAATTAGAGCAATGTTTAGAGTAATAGTAGTTGTAGTACATTTATTATTTGTAGTAGTAGTAGTAGTAGTAGTAGTAGTAGTAGCAGTAGCAGTAGATACTGAGAAGGACTAAACACGTAAGGGGGCAATACATCGCCTTGGGAAATTTGAGGTAGTCGAAGGGAAGGGAAGACCATCTCCACTTTCCAACATCAAGACCCCATCGATCAAGAATCAAGGCACCTTCTTCCCTTACCCTACCACCACCTTCGTCAGCTTAGGGTGGTCAGGTGACGCTCTACACCTACACCTGTCTACATTCAACACACCTGCTCCCCTAAATAGGCAAGCTGGCCTTTGGGTAACACGTTTCTAATTTCAGGTGAGAGAAACGTCTGGTTTTGAGCTCATTTTTGTTAGTTTGTGGCTAGAGGATCTGTGTTCTAACATATCTTGTTACATATGCTATAAAATACGCTTTAATATATCGTATGCTGTATGCTATAACATATGTTATAGGCTGTTATATATGCTAAGAAATATGCTATTAAATATTTTAGTCTCTGCCATAATATGTGCATGGAGAAGCAGCAAGTGTATAGATTTATTTTATGAGTACAAATACGTTCACTTGAATCACTTTCACTGAAAACATTTCGATCGTGGGGCCATGATGAAACGATCAAGGTAGGAGGGAAACGTTTTCAATAAATGTGTCCTGAGTCAGTGCATTACGCTCAAGGAAGTCATGTGCCTTCTCAGTTCTAAAAAGGTTAGCTCCCTTTTGCTTCCTCTTCGAGTTTTTTCCCCCTTTCAATTGGTCGTTCCATTTCACCGAGATCAAAGAAACCTTTGACTGAGAGTTCTTTCTTATTCCACCGAACTTGGCGACTCCTTTTCGAAATAGAGTAAGACCCCCCCCCCCTTTCTCTTTTGAGAAATACCGTGTCTGCATTGTCCTTTGCCCATTTGTGCTATTATATATATATATATATATATATATTATATATATATATATATATATATATATATATATATATATATATATATATATATATATATATATATATATATATATATATATATATATATTATATATATATATTATATAATACACGTGTTTGTAAGGATGTGTTTTATCTGACAAATATTCTGTATTGTCTTATGTAAGTTCATTATCATATTAGTATGAAGCAATGTATTTTGTGTATATTTTCTTGGCTATGGATAGAGATAAGACACGAGATTGATACCAAAAATATTTTTTTATTTTTTTACTCATTCCAAATGTTATCTTTTGTAGGGTCTAAAGATATGGTAAAGCTTGAACCAATGACTGAGCGGAGATGTTGCGTCCGCTGGCGCTGAAGTTTGCTAACATGACGGAGGACCTAGTAGTCTTCCCCTTGCTCATCCTCGTCACCTACAGTGTCGAGGCCGACCTCTTCGTAGTCCTTCTCGAGAGCTGCCAGGTCTTCTCTGGCCTCGGAGAACTCTCCCTCCTCCATACCCTCACCCACATACCAGTGGACGAAGGCTCTCTTGGCGTACATCAAGTCGAACTTGTGGTCGAGACGAGCCCAGGCCTCGGCAATGGCTGTTGTGTTGGACAACATGCAGACGGCTCGTGACACCTTAGCAAGATCACCGTTGGGCACAACAGTGGGGGGCTGATAGTTAATGCCCACCTTGAAGCCTGTAGGACACCAGTCCACGAACTGGATGGATCGTTTCGTCTTGATGGAAGCAATGGCAGCGTTGACATCCTTGGGCACCACATCTCCCCTGTACAAGAGGCAACAAGCCATGTACTTGCCGTGACGTGGGTCACATTTCACCATCTGGTTTGCAGGTTCGAAGCAGGCGTTGGTGATTTCCCCAACGGTGATCTGCTCATGGTAGGCTTTTTCGGCGGAGATGACAGGAGCGTAGGTGACTAGAGGGAAGTGAATCCTGGGGTAGGGCACCAAGTTAGTCTGGAATTCTGTCAGGTCAACATTGAGAGCTCCGTCGAACCTGAGAGAAGCAGTGATGGATGATACAATTTGGCCAATTAGACGATTCAGGTTAGCGTAGGAGGGTCGTTCGATGTCCAGGTTCCTGCGGCAGATGTCGTAGATGGCCTCGTTGTCAACCATGAAGGCGCAGTCGGAGTGCTCGAGTGTAGTGTGGGTTGTCAGGATGGAGTTGTAGGGTTCAACAACGGCGGTAGCAACTTGAGGGGCGGGATAGATGGCGAACTCCAGCTTGCTCTTCTTGCCGTAGTCGACGGAGAGTCGTTCCATCAGCAGAGAGGTGAAGCCGGAGCCGGTGCCGCCACCGAAGGAGTGGAAAACGAGAAATCCTTGGAGACCGGTGCAACTGTCGGCTAACTTCCTGACGCGGTCCAGTACAAGGTCGACGATCTCTTTTCCGATAGTGTAGTGTCCTCTGGCATAGTTGTTGGCGGCGTCTTCTTTGCCGCTGATGAGTTGCTCTGGGTGGAACAGCTGGCGGTAGGTGCCGGTGCGAACCTCATCTAAGACAGATAAACAAATTGTAAATTAGGTTCTAGCGTTGCTACTCTTGTACACAAACTTTCTAAACTTTATTAGATGGTGAAGCTTTTAACAAATATGCTAAAAACAGACGTTGTGTATGAAGAGACTATTATTTTTATAGACTATGTTTTCTTTTAAGAAGAAGTTTATCAAGTCTTGATAAAGCTCTAGGAAGCACTTAATTAATTCAGCACAAGGAGAAACTGAAAAAAAATGCTGAAATATAATTCCAAGTGATCATATGCTGGAGGCTCGACCCTCCGTTCGGTAATTGTGGCTAGAACTTATCAACTATAAAGGCTAGACTCACCGACTACTGAGGGTTCCAGATCGACGAAGACTGCTCTGGGGACGTGCTTGCCAGCGCCGGTCTCGCTGAAGAAGGTGGTGAAGGAGTCATCGCTACTGCCGAGGGCCTTATCGGAGGGTATGGAGCCGTCGGGGGCAATACCGTGCTCGAGGCAGTAAAGCTCCCAGCACGCATTGCCCATCTGGCAACCAGCCTGACCCACATGGATGGAGATGCACTCACGCTGTGGGGGAGACAGTAATGTAGAATACTGGTACAACTGAAGAAGTGCTAATAGAAGAAAGAGTAGAATAGGTAGAGCACGAAGACCATCCATTTTTTTCACAAAGTATTATCCAAAAAAAAAAAAGAAAAAAAGCTACGTAATATTCCCTCACGCTGTGGCATACAGTAATGTACTGAGAGTGAGTACATGGAAACAGATAGCAGAGGACTACTTAGTCCAGACCAAAGCTACCTGTTGAGAGCTATCAACTTTTGCAAGGACTATTTTGTATTGTCTATGCGCATGAGAAAAGGATGGAAAAGCAGGTATTATGCACCTGAAGTAGCAGCGGTAGTAGAAGGCGATGTAGAGGAAGTAGAACACGAAGGGACATTCCTAGATTTATTTCACACAAATCATCAAAGAAAGCCAAGCAGTATGGCTTATTCCCAAGATGCGACCCACTAACATCCAGGCATCTATTTACCCCTAGGCAGAGAGGACAGCATTTTGTCAGGCTTGCCCATACCTCTCGCTCTGCACAGGACTCGAACCTGTGTCCTGTTGGGTTTATCCATGGAAAGGAATACCGGAGAGTCCATGGATAAACAAAGCTGAGAGATAAACAAAGCTGAGAGATAAACAAAACTGAGAGATAAACAAAGCTGAGAGATAAACAAAACTGAGAGATAAACAAAGCTGAGGGAACTGAATCCTCTAGCACACAGTGTTTGTATACTGTAAGTTAAATCATAAACTTTTTTGTGCGACTGAGTTCAGAGTTATAATAAATATAATCTAATTCACAAGAACTGTACTAGTGTGTGACGCGGTGCTGACGTAACAAGATATAAAGAACTAAACTAGGACAGAAACAGGTTCTAGGAAAATTAAGACAGGTTACTTAAGTGGGTGGTGATAGTGGTGTTTAGAGGGATGTGACGATGGAGGGTGTGTGGGAGGAGTGGGTAGGTGTGGGGAAGGGGGATGGAGGGTGTGTATGTGGGAGGAATGTGTAGGAGTGAGGGGGGGATGGATGGGAGGGTGTGTGTGGGAAGAGTGTTTAAGAGGGTAGGTGGAGGGTGTGTATGAGGGTGTGTATGAGGGTGTAGGAAGGGAAGGTGGTGGTGCAAGTGAAATAGGGTAGGGCCCAGTGCACTACCCTGTGACCCAAATGTTTACCCCCATGTCCCTTCACTGCTCTCCTCTGCCTCTTTCAATGCCCACCCCTGCCCTCTTGAATCTCCCGACACCACTATTAATGCTACGGTTAGGGTAGGGGGTCGTAAATGTGATCAGCTAGCAGCTAGAAGATATACGTGATATTATGCTAGCAGCTAGGTTATGTGATAACATACTAGCTACTAGTATACGTGATAGTATACTAGTAGCTAGGGGGATATATGTGAAAGTATACCATCACCTAGGGGATATACGTTATAATATATGCACAAACGAGCACCAAATAGTTAATCACACGAGATAAGAATGTGCCAGAGTGCACAACTTTTAAAAGGCTTCCGTTTCACACAGCACTGGAGAAAGCACAACAAAAAAAATCAAAAGTACTCACCATGTTGATCTATGTTTGGTGGTATGAGCGGGAGGAAGGAGTGACCGCGTCTAACAGTACGGAGTTAGCGCAGCTGAGTACAGTCCTGACCCCTGATGCACCCATTTATATACCTGCCGTGACGTCACGCCAACGTGGGCACTAAGACGTCCTGTGACTGGCCGACGCTGCACGCAGGAGGCAAGGCGGCACGTGACTGGCTGGCGCTACCCGCAGGATGGAGGACGCTTTCTGATTGGCTAATGACACAGGAGAGAGAGGATCTGTGAGTTGTGTGGGAGTGTGTGTGTGTGTGTTTGTTTACGCTTGTCTGGGTGTTTTATACTCATTTCTGAGCGCTGGTGTGTGTTAATGAGTTTTAAAAGAGTGTTAACAGAGAGAGAAAGTGTTAAATAGTATAGTTATAGAGGCAGATGTGTTGAAAAAAGGGTAAAGTTAGTAATTAACTGGAAGAGTATGTCAGGCTGTTGCAGTGAGAGGACTAACGTCTCCTTATATGGGTACTGAAGATATGTGAGTCACTCTGGCCCACCTTATCTACTCTCTCTCTCTCTCTCTCTCTCTCTCTCTAAATAAGGTTAAGGCGTCCTCGTCAGTCACTTACATTTAAAGTAAAATTTCTTGAAACATATACACTGAGACTCAACCCTTGTAACCAAGTGTAGGTGAGTACACACACTTACACAACACACAAACACAAGTGCTTACACACACACACACACTTACAGCTCCTGGCAGGGCCAGGAGCTGAGTCTCGACCCTCGTAACTACAATTAGGTGAGTACATACATTATTCACACACACATATACACACACACGCACACACACACACACACACACACACACACACACACACACACACACACACACACATACACATACACACACACACACACACACACACACACACACACACACACACACGCACACACACACACACACACACACACACACACACACACACACATACACATACACACACACACACACAAACACACATACACACAAACACACATACACACGAAGAGGTATGATAAAGCTCATGGAACAGGAAAAGTGACCTATTAGCGGCCAGTGAACAGGCGGGGCCAGGAGCTCTGACTCGACCCTTGTAACCACAACTAGGTGAGTACACACACATATGGTGGATAAGCAGAGTGTTTGAGAGGCGGGTCTCAGGTACACGAGGTCACAGGTGGGCGAGTGTGTGGGCGAGTGTGTAGGTAAGTGTGTGGGTGAGTGTGTAGGAAAAGGTGTGGGCGAGTGTGTGGGTGAGTGTATGGTCGAGTGTGTAGGCGAGTGTGTAGGTGAGTGTGTGGGCTAGTGTGTAGGTGAGTGTGTGTGTGAGTGTATGGGTGAGTGTATGGGTGAGTGTGTGGGTGAGTGTGTGGGTGAGTGTGTGGGTGAGTGTGTGGGGAGAGTGTGTGGGTGAGTGTGTAGGTGAGTGTGTGGGAGAGTGTGTAGGTGACTGTGTAGGTGATTGTGTGGGTAAGTGTGTGGGTGAGTGTGTGGGTGAGTGTGTAGGTGAGTATGTGGGTGAGTGTGAGGGTGAGTGTGTGGGTGAGTGTGTAGGTGAGTATGTGGGTGAGTGTGTGGGTGGGTGTATAGGTGAGTGTGTGGGTGAGTGTGTGAGTGAATGTGTAGGTGAGTGTGTGGGTGAGTGTGTAGGTGAGTGTGTGGGTGGTATGTGGGTGAGTGTGTGGGTGAGTGTGTGTTGTGTGGGTGGAGTATGTAGGTGAGTGTGTAGGTGAGTGTGTGGGTGAGTACGTGGGTAAGTGTGTGGGTGATGTGTGTGGGAGAGTATGTCTGTGAGTGTGTGGGTGAGTATGTGGGTGAGTATGTGGGTATGTGGGTGAGTATGTGGGTGAGTGTGTGGGTTAGTATGTGGGTGAGTATGTGGGTGAGTGTGTAGGTGAGTGTGTGGGTGAGAATGTGGGTGAGTATGTGGGTGAGTGTGTGAGCGAGTATGTGGGTGAGTATGTGGGTGAGTGTGTGGGTGATTATGTGGGTTAGAATGTGGGTGAGTGTGTGGGTGAGTGTGTAGGTGAGTGTGTGGGTGAGTGTGTGGGTGAGAATGTGGGTGAGTATGTGGGTGAGTGTGTGAGCGAGTATGTGGGTGAGTATGTGGGTGAGTGTGTGGGTGATTATGTGGGTTAGAATGTGGGTGAGTGTGTGGGTGAGTGTGTGGGTGAGTGTGTGGGTGAGTGTGTGGGTGAGTGTGTGGGTGAGTGTGTGGGCGCCACCCGCATCAAACACTTCAACTTGACTGAGACGTTCACACATACACGCACACACATACACGCACACACACACACACACACACTTTTTCAAGGTCACACACCAAGATCTTTAACGCTGAACTCGGTCGTTGTTTTAATCTCTCGTCGTGTCACTGCTGGCCCTCAGAGCACCAGACTTACAGTGAAGAAGCTCTGGGCTCACCCTGGGATCTGATCTAACACTGCTGCCGCTCCTTCATACTAAGCAATTTCCTAAATTTGCTTATAGCAGATAAGTGAACTGTAGATATAAATTCAGATGTACTCCTGTTAACCCTTCAGGGGCCTAGTTCCTAGGCCTATTGTGTATCCATATGCTCTTCTACTACCCTCCACAGGATGGATATGAGGCCTGGTCACAGACCGGGCCGATGGAGCCGTTGATCCCCGAAACCCTCTTCAGGTATACTTCACTTATACTCCAGGTATACACCAAGGTTACACTTAAACTTGATATATTTCTCCTGCTTTAAGTTGGAAAAGCTTTAGCGGCATTGTCCATTAGATAACTTGAGTAAACCTCGTCTGTAAGGCATCAGTTTATCATAGCTGATGCGTCTTACAAAATTTTCTAACCTAGGTTTTGGGACGTAGGTCACAAACTGCCATTTTTAAATTGAAAATATTTTGAAAAAATTGAAATACTGGTGTTTGTGAGATAATTTTTGAGTGTCTCAACTCAGTGGCTGGAAACCTTCAATCCAGATATCTCGGTAATGGATCTTCAGAGCGACTTCAAACTATAATTCTGCAGCTGTTGATAGATAACCATAGGATGCCCCATCAGCTTGGCTTTAAACTTTTGAAACCTGGTATTTCCTGATGGAGGGTCAGAATCTGTTTTTTGGTGGCCGTGCTGGTCCAAATTTTCCATTTTTTTTGTTATTGACGAAATTGGGATATTAATTTCCATGTGATAACTTGTGAAAGCACCTTCAAATTTGCTCCTGATTTTCACTGCCAGTATTTAACTGCATCGCAAACCTATGCCGCACTCTGCACTATTCCTTCTTCGCTCACTGAAGTACGGGAGGCTGGGGTTATGCAACACACTCACACACGCACACACCAGGGGCTATAACTCGACCCCTGTAACCACAATTAGGTGAGTACACACACAGAGCAGAGGTATGATAAAGCTCGTGGTTCAGGGAGAGTGACCCAGTAGCGACCAGTGAAGAGGCGGGGCCAGGAGCTATGATTCGACCTGCAACCATATATAAATGTATTATATTATATATATTATATATATATATATATATATATATATATATTATAATATATATATATATATTATATATATATATTATATATAATATATATATATATATATATATATATTATATATATTCAGTGGGATGCACTAAACCCGTTTGGGCCATTCAGCATCCTGGTAATAATGAATGAGGTATGATCCGAGGAATTAGGGGTTATAACAGCCGCAGTTCCTCAGATCAAGTCCTCCCACTTGGAACATTCCTTCACACACACAAAAACAATTCATTAGGTTGGTCTATGGACTTTACAGACAGACTCTCCTGTATCAGTCATCCAGCATAACCTCCCGCGGTGTTTCTCTCGTCCGTCTCGCCCAACATCGCTCGAGACGTCCTGCCAGACATCGAAGTCGGAGCGACGAAAGATTGCGGGAAGCTGGCGAGACGCAGCGGCAGCCGGGATAATTGACGTGAAGGCGGCTCTGGTCTGAATGTCCTTAATTCTGAGTGATTTCATTCCTCTTACTTGTGGCTGGTCTCTTTTGAGAGGTCCGGAGACCGGACGCAGCGCGCTGGCTGTCACTCGGAAGACCGAAGCTACGAAATGGCGCAGGGAGGGGAATAATATATAAAAAATGGAATTAATCGATTCCTTCATCGGCGAGCGAAAGACCACCGGGAGATAGTGGCTCCTGAGGTCAAAGACTAAGAGGTCTTGGACCGGCCAAGTCAAATGAAGACCTAACGAAAGACCAGTAGAAATTGGTCTATGTTTTTCTATTTCGCTCTCTTATTTTCCCCCTCTCCTCCCCCTTCCTTTCTCCAATTCTCACCCCTCCCTTCCTTCTCTTCTCTCTCTCTCTCTCCCCCCTTCCTCCCACACACACTCCCTCTCAGGGAAGGATCGGGGCCTGAAGAAAAGGCAATTTCTGGCTTGCCTACTCTGAAAGGGCGAGGGGGAAGGCCGTGACAATGGCGTCTTTCAGAAGAGACCGTGCCTGCAATTTTCTTCATCACTTGGCCCTGCGCTTTCATTCTTTCACCGCCCAGAAAATTTCTTTCCAAATGCCAGTCACCCGTTTTTGGTTGAGCGGCCCTAAACAATCGCCCAGTGGCGGCGGCATGCCCAGCAACCACTGTGGTGGTGGTGGTGTGTGGTGGTGGTGTGTGTGGTGGTGTGTGTGGTGGTGGTGTGTGGTGGTGGTGTGTTTGGTGGTGTGTAGTGGTGGTGTGTGGTGGTGGTGTGTGGTGGTGGTGTGTTTGGTGGTGTGTGGTGGTGGTTGTGTGGTGTGGTGTGTGGTGGTGGTGTGTGGTGGTGGTGTGTTTGGTGGGGTGTGGTGGTGGTGTGTGGTGTGGTGTGTGGTGGTGGTGTGTGGTGGTGGTGTGTTTGGTGGTGTGTGGTGGTGGTGTGTGGTGGTGGTGGTGGTGTGTGTGTGGTGGTGGTGTGTGGTGGTGTGTGTGGTGGTGATGTGTGGTGGTGTGTGTGGTGGCGTGTGTGGTGGTGGTAGTGCTGATGTGCGGTGGTGGTGGTAGTTGTAGTAGTGGTGGTAGTGGTAGTGGTGGTAGCGGTGGGAGTGGTAGTAGAGGTGGTAGTGGTAGTGGTGGTAGTGGCTGTAGTGGTGGTAGTGGTGGTAGTGGTGGTAGTGTTGGTAGTGGTAGTGG